GCTCAGTCCCATGTGACCAGAAATTCCCGTCCTCGCAGATCTGCACGGCCTGAACGCGCTGCCGAAGGAGCCATTCCTGCTGCAGGTCACCTCGGACGCTGTTCCTGGAAAGCCATCGACCCTGTGGAAAGCTCCTGCTCAGCAGGGTGTGGTCACCAGGAAATGATTACAGGCCTGAGGTGACAGATGGCACGGGAGTGGGCTGTGTGCCTCTCGCTCCCTTAGCTTAGCTCACACCAGCCAAACCGCACCCCCTGCAACTGCCTGACGACACACCCAGAGGTTCCTCCTAGCTGCCCCTGCTCTGGCGCTAGGAGTGTGGTTCTCAACATGTCCTGATGCCATGCTTAGTGCTGGCCTGCTGCCTCTCCTCCCTGGGATAGCCCAGCTCCACCCAGCCCTGGCAGCCAGGAGCCACTGGGCTTCCAAAGGTGAACTGCAGAATGGTCGGACATTGCTTGAGCCACATTTATCACTGCAGGATGTTGGAGCAGGTGCTCTAGGAGCTAGTCAGGTGATCTGGTCACATGGGCACTAGAACACAGGAATCCCAGCTGGGCCAACAGGGAGGAGACAAGTGGGACTAGATTCAGACCTTGCCGAGTCCATTGGACGCCGTGATCTCCCCTGCGGCAGCAGCCTTGTCATTGGTCATTTGCATTCTAGCTGCCCTCAGGCTGGGTATAAAACAACCTGTCTGCCTCCCAAATCCAACCGTCTTGGTCCCAGATAATCATTTCCTTAGCAGCGAGGCGCAAGTTCCATAAAGCCCTGGGCTACACCCTTGGAATCTGCGCCCGGCTCTGAGTTTAGCTTCTCTGGCCTGAACGAGTTATCCTGATTGTCCTGTGGCTATCTGGGGAGGGTGACTGAGGTGTCTCTGGGGCATCTTCTAATGAGCCTTCACTGTGATAGCAACATGCCACGTACATGGATTAAAGGAAACACTAAAATTGTTCAGCTCTGCACCTCTCCGTGACCCATTTGCTTTTCTCTTCCTCATCTTTGTCTCCTCTCATCCTCTCCCTCTGCTTCTCCTCCCTCCTCATTTTCACGATCTGGCCATGCAAAGGGTGAGAAGGATTCCAGGCCCTCTTGTGGCCTAAGCTCCTCAAAAGTCTGATTTGCTGCTTCTTGCATCCCTGGCTACTGTCCCTTCCCCCTTCCTGTGCACTCTCCTTGGCAATGACTGAGATTGGGCCTCATCTCTGGCACCTCTTGTGTTATCAGTGAAGCAGGGGCAGCGTTCCCTCTCTCGCTCTCTGTCTCTGCACCTAGTATGGAATTGCTCCGTGTACAAGGAGCTAATTTTAGCAGGCATGACTCAGAGCAGCAGCTCCATCGAGAGCTCATGAACAGCCCCTTGCAACAGAGATAATCAGCGACTGCTGAGTGTGGCGAGACGTGGACAAGGTGAACGGAAAGCCCTCCACACCGACCTCTACCATGACACTTGGAGAAGGGCAGTCTCTGCCTTCAGCTTCGGGCCCAAAGCGACCCACTGGCCACCCTTCCATTTATGGTTCCTGCTCTGAGCATGTCAGACATCCAGGAACCTCCATCTCTGTTCATGTAACCATAGTTAGGCGCCAACTGTCCTCATGAAGACCCAACCCACGACTGATGGGAGATGCCCTAGATCCAGCAAACCTTGGGAACCAAGCAGGGAGACTAGCAGGCCAGAAGTGAAAAGTGGGAGATCTTCATTTGCCTGGCAGGGTTTCTGGACTGACACTAGATCATTGGTGCAGGAACCAAGCTACAGTAGGGATGCAAATATTGGTTTAAAAAGTTAACCGGTTAAACGATTAAAATTATATCATTTAACTGGTTAACCGTTAACTGATGTCGTTCCAGCGGCGGGCTGGCATGGGGAGGCAGAAGCTAGGGTCCCGCCAGGGCTGGGGTCTTGCCGGCCCGGTGTGGCTGGGGCTGGGCGCGGCATGGCTGGGACTGCTCCAGCTTGCCCGGCAGGGCTGGGGCCGCTCCGGCCCGCCCGCCACGACTGGGGCTGGGGCCCCGCAGGCATGGCCAGGGCTGGGGTCCCACCGGCTGGCCAGGTGCAGCCAGCCAGGGGGGTTAATGGTAAGTCTAATGCTTACCAGGTAACCGGTTAACCTTTTACATCCCTAATAGGAAGTCTGATTTATGCTGTGCTGGGGGTGCAAAGCAACCTCAACCCAGCTGGAGACAGCCCAGGATCTGCACCAGCCTCTTCATGCTTCACTGTGCATTTCGGAGACTTTGCAGCATTACAGTAAGTGTGCTGCTGAAGCCAGACCAACATTGAGTCCTGTGGCACCTTTAAGACTAACAGATGTATTGGAGCATAAGCTTATGGTGCCACAGGACTCTCTCTTGCTTTTTACAGATCCAGACTAACACGGCTACCCCTCTGATACCAGACCAACATTGTGTCCTCCCCAAAGCAGAGAGAATGGAATAGACCCTGGCCTGTTCCCTGGGAAGTAAAAGCTGTCTCTTTTGGTGTCCCTCGCTTTGATCGCAACGATGCCCATATAGTAGCCAGAGTGGTATAAAAAACTACAGCCAATTCTGTAACGAGGAACCCAGTAGCAACCAGTCCCCTCTGCAGTACAGACAAACCCAGCTGAAACCGAGAGACGCAGCCTGCTACACAAGGCCTTAAAGCAGGGCAAAGTCCCACTGCACAAAGCTCGTGCCTATGCCAGCCCCACCCCGAACCTCCAAAACACCTTGTCCAAACTGCCCCTCAACGCCAGTGAGATCTCTTGAGCCCCGCTGCCATCCTGGAGGGGAGGGCTGCTGGAGCGGCCTGGGCTGGCAGGGGAGAACTGGGGTATGAGCACACCCTCTCTGAAGCTCTTCCCTAAGCAGCGGGGAGGGGATTGGCCATGGTGTCCTGGGACTGAATGTCTCTGTCCACGAGCTGCGTGAAATGCTCGTAAGGCCCCAGCCCCTGCTGGGGTGGGGGTGTCAGCAGTGGAGAGCGAACCTCCCTCTGAGGTGGGAGACAGGCCCAAAAGCCTTTCAAACGTTCCAGAAACGGCTTAGAAAACATTCCAGAAATGCACTTACAACCCCAGGTCTTGCAGACAGTTTGATTCTAAAAATCTCACTGGTGCCCGGGGAGCCAGACTGCAGCGGGAACTGAGAAGCTGAGAGTGGCTCCTCCAGAAGAGCTCATTTCAGTGTGTTCGTCATGTCCCAGACAGCCCCAGGCCCTGCTCAGATAGAAACCCCTCCACCTCCATTGTTACCTTAACTATGGCCGCAGGGTCGAGTGGCCAGGGTCCTGGTCTGGGACTTGAGAGACCCGTGTTCATAAGACCAGCCATGCTGCATCAGACCAATGGTCCATCTAACCCAGCTTCCTCTCTCCAGCAAGGACCAGTGCTAGAACTTCCAGGGGAGTGCACAGAACAGGGCAACTATGGAGAGATCCACCCTTGTCTTCCCCTCCTAGCTTCTGGCAGTCAGAGGTTTTGGGACACCCAGAGCATGGGGTTGCATCCCTGGCCATCTGGGCTAATAGCCATTGATGGACTTATCCTTTATGAACTTATCTAGTTCTTTTTTGAACCCAGTTATACCTTTGGCCATCCCCTGGCAATGAGTTCCACAGATTAATTGTGCATCGTGTGAAAAAGTATTTCCTCCTGTTTGTATTAAACCTGCTGCCTATGAATTTCATCGGGTGACCCCTGTTGTTTTTGTATTGTGGGAAATGGTAAATAACTCTGTTCACTTTTTCCACATCATGATTTTATAGACCTCTATCGTATCCCCCCTTAATCGTCTCTTTTTCTAACCTGAACAGTCTTTTTAGACTCTCCTCATATGGAAGCCATTTCATACGCTTGATCATCTTTGTTGCCCGTCTCTGGACCTTTTCCAGTTCCACTTTATCCTTTGTGGAATGAGGTGACCAGAACTGGACACAGTATTCAAGGGGTGGGCGCACCATAGAGCTAACCGCTGAGTGCCCTTGGATGAGTCATTTCCTCTCTGTGTCTCAGATCCCCCACACTCCCAGTCTTCAGCAAATAGCCCGGCTCTTGCTCAAGCCTCCACCTTGTCTCCAGGACGGTTTTCTCCACACAGAGATTTTTGCATTAGGGATCTTGGGGAAGGTGATCTTCATTGTAAAGCATTTTAATAACCATCCCTACCTCTTATATGGTGCTTTTCCTCAGTAGATCTGCAGAGAAGGTCAGTGTCATTCTCCTCATCTTACAAATAAGGAAACTGAGGCACAGAAAGGTGACTTGTACCTAAGGTCACCTAGCAGCAGAGCCAGGATCAGAACCTAGGTCTCCTGAGCCTCGGTCCAGTGCTCTCTCCAGCAGCCCTTATGCTACTTCAAGATCTCCAGCTGACAAGTGCTGAACAGAAGCTGGGGCATGGTACAGATTTTGCCCTTTCTCTGATGCAACTGCTGCCTGAGCAGGGTCTTCTCCTCCCTTACCTTTCAGGTTATATTTTCTTTTCCAAGTTTCACTTCAGGTCTCCCCCTTCCCTCTGTGCCCCAGAATGCATTGCAGAGTCTAGCTACAATTTCCCCTAATCCTCCTATGCTGTGCTTTGAGGCAGGCTGCCCAGACGGGGTGGGGGTGGCTAAAAGCTTCCAGGGCAGGAGCCAACACAAATGCTGCAGAATGGAGTTGGGGAAAGGGAGACAGAGGGTCCCCGTCTAATCTGTGTGGGAAACGCAGGCTTCTGCTGCGCTGAGCGTTCCTTGAGGCCGTCTCTGCAGGAGGAGGAACGCGGAGGCTGTCTGGGCACAGAGCTCTCTGAGGGAGGCGGGTTTCACCATGTTGGTGGTGTGATGCGGCGGGAGGCTGTTCCCCTGTGATTGGGGTTTCTTTGTGATGTTTTGGCGTATGAAGTGGAATTGGGGTGTGAAGGCGGGAGGGCAGTTGGGGTTGCATAGACGGGCTTCCTTCTAGACTGTGCTGCTGAGAGTCACAACCTACCTACCAGGAAGGAATTCACTCCGGCTCGTAATGTCTTTTCAGATTCGCAGTCCGCTGGTCTATGGTTTTGTGATCCCCTAGGAGAAGATGGCACAGCCCATACACCTGAACCAGAATCTCCCAGGTAAAGACATGGGCTGCTCCTACCTAAGGGGTACCAGGATGATGTGTTCTCCCAGTGCTCAGCTCCGAATGTAGAGATGGGGCACCCCCTGCCCTCCCACAAAAAGAGATGGAAAGGGGTGATCAACCTCTGCCGTGAATGCAAATGGCAGGGGCTGCAGCCTAATCAGAGTCGTCCGCACCTCCAAGGCTGCAGCCAGGGCCGGCCTTAGGAAAAGTGGCACCCTGGGGAACTTGTATTTTGGCATTTCCCCCTCCCCCCATCACTCCTAGCCCCCACAGGCTCCCTGGGCTTTCCCTCCCCTCCCCCCATCACCTCTGGGCCCCACTGCCTCCCCTAGTGTTTAATTTGTATTGAAAGAGATGCCAGAGGCTAGACCTAAGCACTGGCAGGGTGGCCTGATCGTGGCCGGGCACCCAGCTCTGACAGCAGCGCCCCCAGCAGCAGCGCTGAAGGGGGGCCTGGCATATGGTGTATTGACACCCTTCTGCGCTGCTGCTGGGGCTTGTGGTGCCTGATGCTCGGCATGTGGCTTCGCGCTGTCACATGGGGGCTGCGTCTTGCCAGAGCCCACGACCTCCTGGCTCATCCAGGGCACCATTTCAGATTTGGGGGGGAGGAAACTTTAACCGTGAGTCCAGGGACTGCTTAGGTACCTGAAAACTCCAGGGTTTTTGCAGATAATAACGTAGGAATTAGCTGACAGGAGCACTGTATCTAATTGTTATATAAAGAAAGAAAAAAAATATACAAACACCAATTAAAGCCACGTTTAAAGTTTATATGTAAATTTAGAACAATCAGGAGATAATACAGCAAGATATTCCCAATCCCAAACCTTGAGGTATCAGTTCTGGAGCTTTACACGTTTGATACTTTGTACACTATCTTTATTAGAGATACATAAAAATAAATAAAATCGGCTTAAAATCTGTGTTACTGCCATTATCTACTTTAGTCAATTGTTTTTCACTAAAAACATAATTTTAACATATGTGATAAGGGTTTTTTGCTCTTTTATTAAGAAAGGGAATTTATTTTTCTAATTATTTTGGCATTTATGTTTACCGATCACAATCATGTATGTGACTCACTAACATTTGACTCCATTATTGCTATTGGTATCAGAGTTGGAACTGCAGTTATTTTCATGCAAATTTTAAGTTATTTTACAGATATAACTAAAAATACAATTTGAAAATAAGCGACTTTCATCTGCCCAGTGTCTAAAGTTATGCGTTTAGCTAATGTTTTTTAAACTGGCACTGCTACGGTGAGTACAAGCTAAAGTTACATTCTAGAAGGATACTGTTATTTGATTGTACCTCTTTAAATAATGAATGACAAAGCACAATATGATAATAACGGTAATAATCATAATTACTCCAGCCAGGACAGGTTAGGCATTTTAGCACTCACTACTCAAAGAATTCAATGTAAGCATGAGAGAGAAATACAATTACGAAATGCACAGACCAGTCAAAAAACTAAAATAACAGCACTTTGAAAGAATAAAATGACAGAGAACATATACGCAGTGCAGGAAGTACCAACAATATAAGTATGTGTTGGGGGCTGAGTGTGAAGGAGACAGTGTGTGTGAGAGACCGCGCTCCGGCCCTTTCAGACGGCTGAGTGCAGCTCTCTTAAGGAAAGCGTCAGACACTGTAGCAGCCGTCAGCAGCTCAGTCCCTCTCTTGGTGAGCCCTGTCCTCACACACACACACCCTGCTCTGCGGAGATGGGGTACCTGGGTGGGGGGGAGGGCAGGGGACACCATGACA